AAGAAAAACTAATATATTCTGCAGTGAAAAATTATTTTTTAAGTTTCAGTCTGAAAATGTTGAGTTGAACGTACAACTGATAAGAAATGCTTTTTTATTTGCCTTGTAGAACTTTTAGGAAACCACCTAATCAGGCACATGTGTGGTGATTACTGTGAAGGAAGCCACCTCCGTGCAGAATGGTTGTGTCTTCCGAGCTCAGGTGAAAACACTGGAGCTGGAGGAGGCAGCTCTGACCCGGCTCAGACGTGCACCTGTGGGCAGGGCCCCGCTCTCTGGGTCAGACTTTCATCAGTCACATCATAGCTTTACAGATGATCTCCAAGACCTCTACCAAGTCTCCATTTTTATACATGATCTACATATTCTTGAAGGTTTTTTTAAGAAAATTGTTATTCTTTGAAAATGTTACTAAATATTTCAGAGTACATCTAATTGCCTTTTTGCTTTTTGTGTTTCAAACAATAAGGCATTTACATGAAATAAACATTTTTAAGAGTGCATTTGCTGCTGTTTCACCATGTGCTATTCTAGTCCTCTGTTTGGAACATAAAAATCATTTCCAAAGCAACTAATTATAGTATAAGTCACAAGTGTTGGATTACTACTGCTGGTAGGAAATTAGAAGCGACCACCATGCAAATACTAGAATCTTCTTAGTTTTGAAGTTCTCCCCAAAACCACCACAAGATAAAAAAATGCAGGAAAGACATATATAATATCCAATGCAGAAATGAACTTCCCAAGCTGGCTTTGTGAGTGATCAGCTTAACATGAATCTGAAGAGAATTATTTTCTGCCTGGACTTTATACCTTTCCCGACAATCAGTTGTGCCTGTTTGTGTGGATCTATTTCTGGCTCTCTTTTCTGTTCCATTGGTCTATGTGTCTGTTCCTCTGCCAACACCACAGTCTCTTGATTACTCTGTATTTTTTTCTAAAGATTTTCTTGATGTGGACCATTTTTAAAATCTTTATTGAATTTGTTGCAATATTGCTTCTGTTTTATGTTTTGGATTTTTGGCCCTGAGGCATGTAAGATCTTAGCTCCCCAACCAGGGATCGAACCTACACCCCCTGCATTGGAAGGCGAAGTCTTAACCACTGCACTGCCAGCGAAGTTCCCAATTGCTGTGTACTAAGTCTTAATATCAGGTGTGATTCCTCCCACTTTCTTCTTTGTCAAGATTGTTTTAGGTATTCTAGGGCCTGTGTCTTTTCATTTAAATTTTAGAATGAGCTTGTCTATGTCTACAGAATTTGCTTGGGCTTTAATAGGGACTGCATTAAACTCATGGATCAATTTAGGGAGAAGTGACATATTTACTACGTTGTGTCTGCCATTCCACGAACACAGTATGCCACTCCATTGATCAGATCTTCTTTGATTCCTTTCATTGGCATTTTGTAGTTTTAGACATACAGATACTATACATATTTTGTTAACTGAATACTTAAGTATTCCATTATCTTTGGAGTGAATGTAAATGGTACTGCATTTTTTATTTCGATTTCTGCATGTTTGTTGTTAGTTTACAGAAATGCAATTTGCTTTTGTGTATTGATACTGTGTCTTGCAACCTTGCTAAACTCACTTATTAGTTTTAGGAGTTAAAAAATGTTTTTTTCTTATACATACTTTGAGACTTTCTATATAGACAATCATATCATCTATAAATAGAGGCAGTGTTATTTCTTCCTTTCCAATTTATACACTATTTATTTCTCTTCCTGGCCTTATTTAGTGGGCAGAACTTCAATATTCAATATTAATAAGTTGTTACTGATCTTAGGGGGAAAGCATTTAGCCTTTTACCATTAAATATGCTGTTAGCTGTAGGTTTTTTGCAGATGTTCTTTATCAAGTTGGGGTTGCTCCCCTTTATTTCTAAATTCCTGAGAATTTTTATCATGAATGGGCGTTGGATTTTGTCAAATGCTTTGTCTAGGTCAATTGATAAAATCATATTATTTTTATTCTTTAGCTTGACTACATGGTGGACTACACTGATTTTTGAGTGTTAAACCAGCCTTGCATACCTGGAATAAATCCTACTTGGACATGGTGTATAATTATACCCATACAACATTTTAAGATGTTGTTGGATTTGGTTTGCTAATATTTTGCTGAGGGTTTTTACATCTAAATTTGGGAGTGATATTGGTCTGCATGGGATTGTGTTTTGTTTTATTTTGTTTTTAGTCTTTGTCTGGTTTTGGTATCAGGGTAATACTGGCTTCACAGTATGACTGGGAAGTGTTCCTTCTTCTTCTATTTTCTGGAAGAGGTTGTATACAACTGCTGTTAATTCTTTAAATGTTTGGTAAAATACTCCATGGAAGGCATCTGGCCCTGCAGATTTCCTTCTCAGGAGGTTTTAAACTAAAAATTCAATTTCTTTAACGTTTATAGAACTATTCAGGTTATCTGTTTCATCATAGTTGGGTTTTGATAGTTTGTGGTTTTCAAGAAATTGATCCATTTCTTCTAAATTGTTGAATTTTTGAGCATAAAGCTGTTCGTAGTGTTCCCTTATCATCCTTCTGATGTCTGCAGAATCTGTACTAATATCCTCTGTTCTATTCCTGATATTGGTGCTTTGTGTCTTCTCTATTTTTATTTTTTTCAGTCTTGCTAGAGTTTATTAATTTTATTGATTTTTTTGAAGAATCAACTTGTTTCATTGATTTCTGCTATTGCTTTTTTCAATTTCATAGGTTTCTGCTCTTATCTTTACTACTTCCTTCCTTCTTCCTTCTTAATCATCTTTTTCAGGTTTCTTGAGACAGAAAGTTTGATGATTTATCTGAGATCTTTCCTCATTTCTGATGTAAGCACCAGTGCTGCACACTTCCCTCTTGGCACGGCTTTAGTTGCATCCTTTGCCTGATACTTTGACAAAAATATTTTTCTGTAACACTTGGTCAGCAACAGCCAGAGTAGCTTTGGGCCCATTGAACAAAAAACATGCTTAGTGATCTATGCACAAGCACTCACCTTGAATCACAGATAGATTCTTTCACAATGTCAAGGAGAATATCTATAGCACCCTTCCACCAAAGCACTAAGATGGCAACAAAGCTCATATGTGAAACAAATAAGCAAAATACTCTTCCTTCCTAGGTAGAAACAATCTTCTAAGGCTTTCCACGCCTCGGGAGAGAGGGCAGGGGTATTATTAAATCTATCACATGCCTTAAAAATTCTATGTTATCTTACATCCTAACTGGACAGGAACTGAAACAGAAGAGAGACCATCTTCTGGGAGGAAGTATGCAGAGAAAGCTGGGGTGAGCAAAACACCCAGGTGCACTTGTGTAAAGGTGTAGAGGAGGGAAAGAGACAAAGATAGAGAATAAGAAAAGATGCTCAACATTGGCAGTCATCAGGGAAGTGCAAATCAAACAACAAAGCTACTACTTCACACCCACTGGGATGGCTAGAATCAAAAAGACAGAGGATAAAGAGTATTGGCAAGAAGGTGGAGAAAGTGGAAACCCATACACTGCTTGTGGGGTGTAAAATGGTGTAGTTATTTTGGAAACTGTTTCGGCAGTTCCTCAAAAAATTAAATATAGTTGCCACTATTGTGACGTGAATTGTACATTTTTAAATGGTTAAGATGGTAAATTTTATGTTATGTTATTTTACCACAATTTTAAAAAGCTAAACATAGAATTACCATATGACCCAGAAAATCTTCTCCTAGGTATCTACCCAAGAGAAATGAAACCATATTTCCACACAAAGACTTGTACATGAATGTTCACAGTGGTATTATTCATAACAGCCAAAAGGTGGAAACAACCCAAATACCCATTAACTGATGAATGGATAAATAAATGGAATATTATTTTTTTGTTTATACTGAAATATACAGAATACATTATTCCATACAATGGAATATTATTTGGGCACGAAAAGGAATGAAGTATTGATACATGCTACAGCATGGATGAACCTTGAAAACATTATGTTCAGTGAAAGAAGACAGTCACAAAAGGCCATATGCTGTATGATCCCATTAATGTGAAATGCCCAGAATAGACAAATGTATAGAGACAAAATAGATTAGTAGTTTCCGGGTGGAAGGGAAGGCTGGGGAGTGATAGCTACTGGGTGTGGGGTTTCTCTTTAGGGTAATGGAAATGTTCTGGAATTAGACAGTGATGATGGTTGCAAAACCTTGTGAATGTACTAAAACCCACTGAATTGTACACTTTGAAAGGCTGAATTTTATGGTCTGTGAATTATATCTCAGTTTTAAGAAGAATAAACGGTGCGTACCAAGGAGAAGGGAGGAGACGCGGGAGCAGCTGGGAGCGGCTCCCTGAGAGCGGCGGGCGGGGCGAAAGCACCAGGACCTGGCGGCACCACGTCAACCCAAGCTGAGAGCTGCTGAGCTGGGGGGTGGGCAGGGAGGGGCAGGCAGGGTCTGAGCCTGCTCTTGCTGGCTTTGGACCTCGAGACCAACTGCACCCTGAAGAAAGGCATTCATGGCCTTAGATGGGAGGAGTTCCAGGCTTCAAACCGAAAGAAGAAAAGCCTAAGTAGGCAAAATGAAAGTTTACTCAAAAAAGCAACGATGAGGCGGCAGTGAGAAAGCATAGCATTGTGTAGACTTGTTTTGTACCCAAACAGCAAGTGAGGGCTTCAGTGGGGCTGAAGACACGACTGCCACTCAGGTTGCCAGGCACTGGGCTTTGTCTTGAGTGACACTCATCTGGAGGGCGTGCGTGCCTTTCACTTTTGATTTTTCCATATTTCTATTATATTCTTTCGCAATGGACTTCCTTTCTAGTGGTGAAGAATTACCATTTCTTTCATAATTAGGAAACTCTTGGCATCCTCGTTACCTACTCTTCTTTTCAAAGAGATTAACTACTAGAGAAAAGTATAATTTCTTTCTTATGAAAATAGGTTTGGAACAACTTCAGGCTTTTAAAATCGTGTCAGCATTCCTGCGGATCTGATACTATTATGAGCTCATATATCTTACCACTGTGAAGTCAGGGTGGAAAATACATCATCTCTTTCAGATTCCTGGAATAACTTCAAAAGTTCTGGATCCCCAGATAAGTGTGCAAGAATGCGCAATTCAATCTGTGAAAAGTCTGTTAGATAGAGCTCTGCATTAATTCAGAATCTAGGAACAATGTCCCTCATTGTTGCTACCCACCCCCAGGGGACCCTCAATCTTCCCTCCCCACTGAGGAATCAAGGTCAATGTGCCCACCTCTCATATGCCAGGGTCCTTAGGCCTCGGGTCTATTGGCCATCCCTGGGTCTAAAAGTCCCGAGACCTCTTCTGCGAGCCTGGCCATGCCTCCAGGGTGGGCTGTATTGATTCATCACTTCATTGGAACCTCAGAATTTAAAAGGCCTGCTGTGCGCCAGGCCGTGTGCTTGGGGTATGCTAGTGAACAAAACGGGCAACAATCCCTTCCTGCGTAGAACTTACACTTGAGGGGAGGGAGGCAATTCGAATTACTCAGCATGTTAGAAGGTGAGAAATGAAGTGGAAAAGATCCATCAAGAGAAGGAGCTTCCGGAGTCAGTGTGTGTAGAGGGAGCTGCTGTAAAGTGTCATCAAGAAAGTGACCTTCCAGCAGAGGTATGAGGTGGAGGAGGGAGCGGGACCTCATCTGGGGAGGGGGGTCCATGCAGGCCCGAGGTGGAGCTGGCTGGTTGCTGGGGGACAGCACAGGGACCAGCAGGACTGCAGCAAGCAAGCAAGGCAAAGCGCCACGGGTGATGGGGACAGAGAGGAGAAAGGGGGGCAGACTGAGCGGGACCAGGCAGAGGAACTTGGGATCTAGTCATGGTAAAGTGAAGGGACCCAGGAAGCAGAGCTGCTCTCACTGTGCATAAGAAATCTTTGCTTCATATAAATATTTGCCAGGACTTATTTTAAAGAATGAGTTCTGTAAGCACCTTTGGATTATTCAATTTCTAAATATTTGAACTGTATGAAACGCATAACATGGGATCCAGTGACACGGTGTCTCTACCATGGCCCACACATACCTGCTGCTAGGAAGGTGTGGCCTTCGGATGAAACAAACACGGCCCTCGGGGAGATGGTAAGGAGTTCGTCTTTGCCTGAATCATATTTCAATAGCACTTGGTGAATTTGGTCATGAGCCGACTCATAGCTATTCCTCATACAAAGTTATTTTAACATCATTCTAAAGTCAGAAGAGTCTAGATTTCTGATTTTTCTTAATATTTTTAATGTAATTTTAAAACATCATAAGACTACTGAAAGTAAACTAGATTTTCTGCTGTTAAAGTCTCCTGTTCTGTGTAGAATTCTTAATGAAGAAAAGGTCAAACATTGCAGTAAGAGCCGCCTAGAGACCCTCTGGCCTCTCTGCTGAGAAGATCTCCTTTGTGGAAGCACAAATTCTAAGATTTCCCCGCTGAGTGCATTTTACAGGGGCTGGAGGAGGCGGAGTTGCTGCTCACCTCCCATGAGTTGTGTTCACGCACGATTGTGTGTACTTTAAAGAGGACTGCTCATCGGGCTTCATTGTTTGGCCCTGACCTTCCGGAAGCAGCAGTTCCCAAAGCAAAGGGGGCAGGAGTTTACTGGGAATGGGCCACAGAGCCCTACTTTGCTCAGATTTGACCTTTTTCTTCTTTAGAAATGTAACCATCAGCAGTACAGTGTAATAGCTTAAGAGAAAAAGAGTGTTACTATGCTTTCATAAACATTTCCAGTAATTTTCAGACTTTAATAAAAGCCAGTTCTATTGTACGTCTGTTTGTTTTTTCTTTGTTGGGAAGTTGGTGGGGGAGAGATAGTAGGAGGGGAGCTACTTCCCTTGTATAATTATCATGTATTTTGACTTATAAAGTGCTAAAGGGGAGGTACCATATCACTTTAGCTGTGTTTTATTTTTCAGTGTATATTTAAATCCTGGTCATGCAAATACAGAGGAGAACTTCAGGAAAGAAAAGCAGTTAGTTACACAGAAAAACAATGACAACATCTCTAGGTTTTTAGAAAATGTTACACAAGACTTCTGCAAAGTAGAAAGAAATGTGTTACCTTGAAAATTTTGAGGTCTAGTTATTTGAATTGGGTGCTTGGAGATGCCTTGGATATTCTGTGAATAATAAGAGGGAAATTGCTTTAGTTGAAATATCTTCTCTTAAGTTAATTTGTACTATTTAACGGTATTTAAAATGTGTCACATTTTATTAAACATTAACAAAATAACTAATGCCAATGTACTATGCATAAGTGTATTGATACTTAATACAACTAATACTGAAACATAATTTTGGTGGGTATAGCACTAGGTATTATCAGCAAATATGAGAACAATTCTTTTTGACTTGAGCCTGTGTGACCCTTATCATAATTATATACAGTAATTCTTTCATCAGCAGCCTGAATTATGAACTTAGTTACCTTTAAAATTCCTACATAATATGCTAATGTAGATTTCTGTGAAATCTGTACACCGTACTTTCCTTTAAAAAGGTATTTTAGGGCTTCCCTGGTGGCACAGTGGTTGGGAGTCCGCCTGCCGATGCAGGGGACACGGGTTCGTGCCCCGGTCCGGGAAGATCCCACATGCCGCGGAGCGGCTGGGCCCGTGAGCCATGGCCGTTGAGCCTGCGCGTCCGGAGCCTGTGCTCCGCAACGGGAGAGGCCACAACAGTGAGAGGCCCGCGTACCACAAAAAACAAAAACAAAAACAGAAAACAAAAAGGTATTTTAAGATGAGTATTTGGGTCTCTCCACTCTAACCAAGGCTATTGCTCTTGGCACTTGGCACCAGCCTTGGTCTTAGTGTTTGCTGACTGTACCAGATCTACACGATCCCTACCAGAAAAAAAAAGAGGATGAAATACTTCCTAACTCATGTTATGAGGTCAATAATATCCTAATAACAAAACCAGACATGACATTTCAAGAAAAGAAAACTACAGACCCATATCCTGCATGAATATACACACCAAAGATCCTAAACAAAATATTAGCAAATCAAATCCAACAATAGGACAATCCGTCATGACGAAGTGGGCTTAATCCCCCAAAGCCCAGCCTTGGCTGGTTCAACATTTGAAAATCTATCCACGTCATTCAGCATATTAATAGATTAGAGAAGAAAAGTCACATGATCATCTTGATAGATGCAGAAAAAGCATCTGACAAAATTAAATATCCATTCGTGGCCAAAACTACTCTCAGCAAACTGGGGACAGAAGGGACTCCTTTAACGTGATAAGCAGAGCCTGCGACAAAACCTAAAGCTAACGTCATCCTGATGGTGCAAAACTCAGTGTATTCGCCTCAAAATCAGGAGCAGGCAAGGATGTCCACTTCCAACACTTCTATTCAACATAATATAGGAGGTCCTAGCCAGCACGATAAGGAAGGAGAGAATAGTGAAAAGCATACAGTACAAAGGAAGAAGTAGAATGACCCTTATTCACTAGATGTGATTTCATACGTAGAAGAACCCATGGAAACTACAAAAAAGCTTTCCAGAACTAATAAATGAGTTGACCAAAGAATCAACATAAAGTCAATATACAAAAATCGATTCTATGTCTACATAGTACCAATGAATAACTGGACATTGAAATTAAATGAACAATGCCATTTATAATATACCCCAAAATATTTAGGTATAAATCCGTATGTTGAAAACTACAGAATTCTGATGAAAGAAATTTTAAAAGCCCTAAATAGACGGAAAGATATACCATGTTCATGGGTTAGAATATTCACCTTAATAAGCCAATGACTCCCAAGTTGATCTATAAATTTAATACAGTCCCAATCAAAATACTAGCAGGATTTTTCATAGCTATCAAGAAGCTGATTCTATAATTTACGGATCATAAAGGTAAAATGTAAAACTCTAAAGCTTTTAGAAGGAAACTTAAGAGAAAATCTTTGTAATCTTGGGTTAGATGAAGAGTTGCTAGATACACACCATCAGCATGGTCCGTAAAAGAAAACAGTGAAACACTGGACTCCATCAAACTTTTTTTTTGCAAATCATGTTGGATTCAAAACATATAAAGAACTCTCAAAAAATTCAGCAATGAAAGGTACTTCCAGAATGGCAGAGTCAGGAGATTGCCAACTCATTCTATGAGGTGTTATCCTGACGCTAAAGCCGGACACCAAATAGAACATCCTCCATAAATAGACACAAAGATCCTCGATAAATATTAGCAAGCTGAATCTAGCAACATGTAAAAAGGGTTATGCACCATGACCAAGTGGGATTTATCTCAGAAATACAAGGTTGGTTTAAAATCCAAAAATAATTAATATAATACATCAGATTAGTAGAATAAAGGACAAAAAGCACATCACCACCACAACAGAAACAAAATCCAACACTCATTCATATTACAACAACTCAACTAGGAAAAGAAGGGACTTTTCTCAAACTCATAAGAGAACATCTATAAAATTTACTCACTTTGAGTAATGTCAGCGTCTACAGCTGTATAAAACAGAATGTGTTCTCTATCCAATAGCATGTCAAATCGGGATCAGACCAGACTGTAACTAACGTGCCCAGCTAGAAGCTCTTGGTAAGCACAGCGTGGTGTCAGGGTCGTCTGGCGTGATTCCTGAAATCATTTCCCTCCCACAGCACATAAAACATCACTTTTTTTTTTTTTTTTCAGTGAATCCCACGAAGGGTGTTTATTGAGAACCCAAGCACTCAGCAGTTACATGATCAGAGTGAAGCATGGCTCCCTGAATTCCAATAGTGCACACGATCTGGAAAGACCCTCAACACTGTCATGCAACAGCTACAGAGCAATTAGTGACTCAACTAGTAGTCTTGGCTATAACTGCTTTATGAACTAAGAAAAGGAAAGGAAAGGAATGACTGAAGTTTACTGTCATTAGGAAATGTCTCATTCACATTAACGGGGCTATCAATGGCACAAAAACAGACATTTATATTTGTTTAAGTGCTGCTACCCTAATCAGATTTTGGTTAAGTCATGTCTAAAGTTGGTTTGGGTTCTTTGAGACCATAGAAATGGATGGTAATGAGGAGGTACTCTGGGACATACAAAAACATCGCTTTTAATGAAAGTTCCTTTACCAATGGAAAGAGGGATAAATAAGTTTCTTACTTGTCCTGAGAAAGCAGAAATGCTAAGTTTAAATTGATTATCTTCAGAAGAATATGAAGGAAGTTTTCTAATAATTAAATGCCACTTTTTATGCTTTACAATATAACAAATAATACAATAACAGAAACTTCACCAAATATCTAACCTATATAGCACACTTTGTTAAATATGTTCTATAATTTGAACATTAAAAAAAAATATTTATTTGGCTGCGTCGGGTCTTAGTTGCGGCACGCAGGATCTTTCGTTGCAGCATGTGGGCCTTTTTTTTTTTTTGGCTGCGTTGGGTCTTTGTTGCTATGCACGGGCTTTCTCTAGTTGCAGTGATCAGGGTCTACTCTTCGATGTGGCACGTGGGCTTCTCATTGCGGTAGCTTCTCGTTGCAGAGCACAGGCTCTAGGCACGTGGGCTTCAGTAGTTGCAGTGTGTGGGCTCAGTAGTTGTGGCATGAGGGCCCGCAGGCTCAGTAGTTGTGGTGCATGGACTTAGTTGCTCCGGGGCACGTGGGATCTTCCTGGACCAGGGCTCGAACCCGTGTCCCCTGCATTGGCAGGCGGATTCTTAACCACTGCACCACCAGGGAAGTCCTGTGGGGTCTTTTCGTTGCAGCGCACGGGCTTTTCTCTAGTTGTGGTGTGCAGGCTCCAGAGTGCCTGGGCTCAGTAGTTGTGGCGCGTGGGCTTAGATGCCCCACAGCATGTGGGATCTCAGTTCCCCGACAAGGGATGGAACCTGCGTCACCTGCATTGGAAGGCAGATTCTTAACCACTGGACCACCAGGGAAGACCCAATTTGAACATTTTAAGGAAAATTAAAATGTATATTTTATCCTTCGACCATATGGAGGAATGCATCCTAAGAAGGCACCTGAAGGTTTTAGCTCTTTCTTTTCTCCACCGTTGCCGATAGACATGAGCCCAATTCCCAGGCACTCACACTAGTCTCAAATGGCATCTTCTTTTCTATTATCCCACAGAGGCCATTCTGCTCATGGTGACTTGCCGAGGCATGAATGAGTGCTCTGGCATCTGACTACAGCAGAGAACCTCAACCATGAACCCTTCCTTCCTTCCTTCCTTTCCTCTCTCCCTTTCCTTCTTTCTTCCTTCCTTCCTTCCTTTCTCTCGCTCTCTTTCTTTCTTTCTGTATATGGTTTTGGTTTTTTTGTGTTTTTTTGGCTACATTGTGCAGCTTGTGGGATCTCAGTTCCCCAACCAGGGATTGAACCTGAACCACAGCACCGAAAACCAGAATCCTAACCACTAGGCTACCAAGGAACTCCCGAACACTGTCTTTCACTGTCAAGTTGCAGGAAAAGAAGACGAACAGTAGTTCCCGTAAGCCAACCTTAAACAAGCCAATAAAAATGCTGTGCACACTGACTGGAGACTAGAGGAGCACACAGTCACCGAATAAGAAAATATAAATGACTTTCAATCAGAATTGCTTTTATGAAGTGTCCCAAATATGTCTAGAGATAAACAGTTATTAAAATTAAATAACTCAGCTGATAAAAATAGAACCAGAATATTTTGATGGAGAGGACCAAAATCATCTATGGAATCTTCTATTATGTTAAATGTTTTTTTTAAATTAAAATAACCTTTTTATTTGAGAACAGTTTTACAGAAAAGTTAGGAAGATAGTATAGGGAGTCCCCATATGCCCCTCACCCAATTTCCCACATTGCTAGCATCTTACGTTTCTAGGGCATCCTACACACGACTAAGAAACCAACATCAATACACTATTATCAACCAAACTCTATACTTTATTTGGATTTCACCAGTTTTCACCTAATGCCCTTTTTCTGCTCCAAGACCCCATCCAGGACACATTCAGTCATCATGTTTCCTTAGGCTCCTCTTGGCTGTGGCAGTTTCCCAGATTTTGTTTTTTACGACCTTGTTTTGAGGAGCACTGGTCAGGCAGAACATCCCTCAGTTGGGATTTGCTTGTTGTTTCTCATGGTTAGACTGGGGT